TAAAGTAAATAATAAATAATTATAAAAAAGTAATAAAATATTTGTTTCCATATATTAGAGATTGAAGAGTCTTAAATAAAGATTAGAATATAAGAAAGGTATCGACAAGTCTAAAGATAATTTCACTCTTGTCTACATATATACTAATTGTAAGAAAGACCTTGTAGAAGCTTTCTAAGAACCACAAGCCTTATAGCTTAAATATCAAGTTTTAGATTGCTTTCAATACAACATTTTAAAAATAAGATACTTATGTGAAAAGTTTAAATAGCTATCTAAAGATCTAATTTGTGTCTAAAAAAATATTTAAAGTTTTTTAATTTTTATTTATTTATATAACATATTTTATCTGTTTTTAATTATTATTTATTTAAGTAATATAATTTTTTAAAGAATATTTCTTATTATATATATTATATTTAATAAAAAAATAAATATTGAGAAGACTTATGTTTTTAAGGAAGAAATAACTTGCTTCTTATAAAGTGTCTAAAATAAACTGAGGTGGCATAAAAAATGTCTTGATTAAATATCTTTTGAGTAACATAATATTTTAATATAAATAATATAATATTTCAAAACTTCTTTACTTAAGCCACCTTTATTATCTTTGGATTATTTTCATGCACTTCTTTTAGAGTACTTCTTTTATGCTCCTTCTTTCTTATATTTTTATGTTTATTTTTTCTTATATTTTCATATTTTGTAGTTTTTTTATTCCCATGATTTCCATATTCTATTTTTAATAGCCAATCAAAAGAAGTTTTTGTCTCTTTGTGTTATACCTAAGTTGTCTTACATAATAAAGTAATAAAAACTTGTACTATTAGCTATAAAAAAAAATATAAAAGTTTAATTTATAAAAAGACAATTAATTTTTTAGATTTTTGAATCAATAAAAAATATTTAAATATATGTGATTATTTTTTAATCTAATATTTTTAATAATAATAATACTATCATAATTAAAATAATAAATAATGTTATTTTTTTAATAATTTAAAATATTTTAATGATATTTATTTAATATGTTTAATGTATATACCAATCAAATCAATATACAATAGATACCATTAAAAACTTCAACAATATAATAAAAATCGACTTTGAATATACTAATATGTAAAACATAGTGTCAAAGACACAAATTGGAAGAAGATGCATAAACTTGTGGAATTTGTATCAAAAAGAAAGTGACAAAATAGAAGAAAGTATGTATATTCAATGAAGGACTAGAATGGTTATTGCCAAAGACTAGAAAACATAAGAGTCTTGAAACTAGACTAAAAGTAAGAAAGGAGTTAATAAGATTGAGGAAGGCTTCACTCTTGCCTCTATGTATAGTACTTAACTAAGAAATACATGGCAACATGCTATAGGACCTCTAATATGCATCCAACTTGCATGACACATGTCTAATTTGCAAGGCAAGTTTCCTAGGTATGCACCATATGTCCAACTTATATTACAAGTGATCAACATGTCGACACATGGCGTCCTTGTTCAAAGTTTTCAGCCTATCAATCACCTATAGACATGTATAAAGGCAAAGCAGCATCTATAAAGCTTCTAAAAAGCTTTCTACAATATATTATCATATTTATCTACTTTGACTTACTTCTATCTATTCTTATTATCTAGATAATTATCAAGATAAATATGTATGTCTATGACACATAGTTTGTAATTTTGTAGAGATTTTAAAATATTTTGAACTTCTTTTCAAAAAATTCCATTAATTATATCTAAAATATTGTAAAAGTGAACAAAAACATCAACTTACAAAGGAGAAAATCTAGACAATCCATTGAAAAGAAAAAAAAATTAATAATGTCATATTCAAATATCCATTGATTCTCTTTCTGCACTTCTTCCTCCACTTCTTCTTCTTCTAAGGTGAAGTTGTTCTTAATATTGAATGTCTTCCAAATCTCCTTCAATGTCTTCTCTTTTATCATATCATCTATAGTTTGGCATGTTAAATTCAATAGATTCTTGATGTTTAGATAGTTTGTTGTCTATTTCAATCATTCCACTCTTTTTTGTCAGCACTACTCTTTCTTGTTCTCACCTTCTACCTCACTTCTTCCTCTTCTATCATTTTTTTTTATACTTTGTGTAGTTCCAATGCTTTTATGCTCTCACATCTTATATTCAAACCATTGTTCCATTCCTTATAAAGATCACTTCAAACAATGTTTCTTGGTCCACCTTCACAAAATTTGTGTCACATGCCTTAATTTTGTCTTTTAATGTTAAGAGCTTATCCTTGCCTCATTTTTGCTTGTTTACTTGGTACTTACAATACTTGATCACTTTTGTTAGGATCTTACTTAATATATTTGGTAGTTGGATCACTATATCTTTATTCATGTCTTCAATCATGTTCTTCATTGCCTACAATTTCAATGCCACTATTTTGTCCACCTCAAACATCTCATTATTTGAACTTCTCAATTTCAAGCACTATTCTACTATTGCTACAAACTATCTTCCAAAGATCATTCCAAATACTCCACTACAATGTTGATTTTAATACCATAGATTATTTATATCAACTACCATCTACATACTTGCAACATCCACCTTCTTATACTATTAACCGCATATTTTTATAATATCAATATGAGATTCCAAATTCCTTGTACCACAAATAGGAACTCAGAATAGGATTGTAGCATAAGATTGATCAATTTTCACACTTGCCAACCAAGCCACCATGATAAATAATAAATAGTTCCAACCTCACAGTATCACTGTATATTACTCTCATAACACATTCTTAGCTTAACTGCTAATTTTTCCTAACTATTGTACATGTTCAAAAGACCTATCAACTTAACATCTATAGTTGCATCAAATGTTATTCATCCATAGCCTCAGCAATGTACTACACCTTTATAATCCATTATTTGATATCATACAACTTCTAGTTTAGTGATTTATGCCATGGACCATATTTTGGCAATGATCATCATTCTCCTAAATAATTCCCTTTAGAAATCAATCCTCCAAGTAATTTTGACAAAAAAAACATGAAAAATAATATGCCATGTCAATCAACATAGTCGGAAACAAAACTAAACTCATATTGCTCAATTCTGCTCATCAACTACTAGTTGCACAATAAAGACAATATCATTGAGCAACAATTTTATAGATGCAATTTGTAGCATTGGATAGATAAAGCAAAGTAGAGTTTGTTTTAACAATTATAATAAATATTAAAATTCAAAGGGGGTAATAAAATCATTGTTAAATTCATTAATAAGCTCTTGTTCTTCTTTATATTCATCATCAACTACGTCTTGCCAACAAATGCACAATATCAATCAAATCTCAACTAAAGAAGTTCAATAGATACATTCTTCAAAATACAAGAATAATACAACAAATACATTCTTGAAAACAATGGTACGGATTATCACAACCATTTATTCTTGCATTATAATTTGTCTCATAATATTTTTATGATTGCAATAATAAAAAAAAAGAGAAGTGTGGCCTTAGCCATTCTAATTGTAATGTTGAGCCTAGGAAAAAACTTGAATATGTAGAAACCCTAACTTGAGTTGATGAGCCTAAAGCTTTGCTAATTACTTGTAAAAGAGTGTTGGAAAAGGAATGTTTTATATTATCAATCTTTGACATGATTTGAAGAAGTACAACCTTCAAGATACTACAAAAAGTTACTTAATAAGCTTCTACTATATTCTCATTGTTGCCCAAGAAATTGTTTAAATCAACTAAATAGAAATGAATCAAGGGTGTTAAAAATCAAGATGCTAAAGACAACAAATAGTAACAACTCAATTTGTGGAGAAACCTAAGGTCCTAACCACTTTGAGTTCCCAAGTTCCCTTCTCAATACCCAATCAAAATGCATTTTTTTCTCTTTAACTAATACCCAAGCTGTTCTATATTATAGATATGCAAAAATTCAATCAAATAAAAATTCACAATTTATTAAAAAAGGGGGTTTTTGAATATTATTTTGGCTTGTTGTTCCTCAAAATATCAGCAGAAGCAGCGAGCTATGAAACTTCAAAGTATTTAAGCCAATGCAACTTACTATAATACATTTCATAAGTAGGATTGAATGTGTTGCAACTATACAAGCACAACATGGGGTCGATTGAACATTATGTTAGGGTTTGGCATGCTCAGCACTTTGAAGCCATGACTCTTCCTCCCTAGCAGTAGCCCCAACAAGCCCAATGCAGATCACTGCGTCTGCGGCAGTCAGTATACGTAACCCTAATAAATACCTGCATTGACGAAGCCGACAAGTCGATGGTGCAGTGAAGAAGCAAGTTCACGAGGTTCTCGTACGCATTTGATAGCATAACATAGAATTCGTGACTGGAATTCCGAGGAGTTGTTGCAGATGTTGCTGACCTCATTTACTGGTGTGCCGACTTTCGCGAAGAGGCGTCGTCTTTAACGTCTGCATTCCTTACTCATCTGACGTAGGAAGTCTGTGAAATGAAAGATGAATCAGTCCACAATTCAATCAGGAAAATCAACTTTGCTACGAAGGCTGGACCGATATGCTTGCTAGCTTCTGGACCCTGCAGTCTTGAATTGGAGGGAGGATAGGCGGAGCGCTAGATGAAGTCTGAGAGTAATCTGCAGGGGATAAGTTAGACGATAGCATTGGCCATGAAGCCATCCCAGGACAGGAAGCAAGAAGCCCAGAAGGCTTACAGCACAATTTTGAACACTTTTGTCAGAGTTTGGTGTGGGTGTAGTTTCGTCGATACGCAACGACTAATCGAAGCTCCTGATGTATCCTAGACCTAAATTTTGTACCGAAACATTGAATCTGCTGAAGTTGTGACTTGGCATTGCTGCTGCATGTCAAATCGTGTACATTCCCACATGAGTGCTTGCTACGTCTGAATTGATAATATGTGCTTTTATTTTCTCGTTTGATAACGAGACAATTTGCCATATTGATACCCGGATGTCTCGATGATGTGCTTTTATTCCACAAGTGTCGCGCAAACCTCCAGAGGTTGTATAACCTTTATCTATGTCACGCCACGTTCCCGCGCTTTTGAAGAATTGACGATGGTATTGTCTTGGGTGTCCATGTGGTGAAAAATTATCTATTGCATCGCCATGGCATGAGATTATTTTGTGGATGGTGTGTCGACCATAACACTCCCCTTAGCTCCAGAATAGCATCGAAGCACCGAGGCAGCAGATGCATGTAGAATAGGGCTTTGAACCCCCTGAATTCTCGTCGCTATTTCAAATTCCATGTAGAATTCAGCTGAAGAGGTTATGGGTTCTGGGTTCTGGGTTCGTAAGTGACTAGAGGAGCTGAGACGAAATCGGAGTGATCGAGAATCTTGCGCCAGAATTTTGCCACTTTTTTTGGTCTTATGAAACTCGTCGTGCGGGGTTGGAAGTGTTCGTTTCGGGTGTTGTCATGCCCTGGCCCGACTTGCTCTGAAGTCCCGAAAGGCGTAATTCGCCACATTGCGCATTGTTCAACAGAACGGAGTTTCGCTAGCTCTGAGCGCGCCACGTTTTGTGATGTAAGATTGGGTAGAATAGAGCGCTGTGATATGAGATTTTCCTCGAGCTGCATCTTTCGGTCTCAGGTTGGTGGTTTAGCTAGTGGTCTCTCAGGTTGCTGCTCTGTGCCGCCTCCCTTGGGATCTATCGATACAGACCGATTGTCTTTTCCCGGCATTGGGTTACGAGGGTTCAGCAGTGAGACTGCCGGCATGGCTTCCAGTGGTTCCCCTGCGCCAGAATGTGATGAAGGTGAACAGATCCTTAGCGGTACCCATAGCGAGAAGCTTAGAGGTTTTCAAATAGTAGTCGCTGCCACTCGCGAACGGGGAATAGGGAAGCAAGGGCATCTCCCATGGAAACTACCGACGGATATGAAATTTTTCAAAACGGTCACATCGGTAACAACCTCTTCATCTAAGAAGAATGCCGTGATAATGGGACGGCACACTTGGGAATCCATACCTGAGAAGTTCCGTCCCCTCCCTGGACGCTTGAATGTGATTTTGACGAGAAGCGGGATCAAAAGTACACCGGCGGGAGTTGTTGTCAGTGAGAGCCTCCAATCTGCGCTGGCTTTAATCGCAACCCCGTCCTACTCCTCGCATGTAGAATCTGTCTTCGTCATTGGCGGTGGCCAGGTTTACAGGCAAGCCTCTTTACTTATTTTCCAGTTTTCAAACTACTTCGATCTCTTGCAATTTTGATGAGCTGCCACCTGGATACTCAGTTGGTTTCGACTGTCTGCAGTGAAGCAATGGCATCACCATTGTGCGAAGTCATTCATTTGACCGAGGTTGAAGGCGATGTGGAATGCGACACTTACATGCCTGCTGTGGATACTGACATCTTCCGGATCTGGTCTGCTTCCATCCCCATTGTGGAAAATGGCTTGCGTATCAGCTTTCTAACCTACGTCCGAGGATCATTGACTTCCTCAATAAAACAAACTGACAATGGAGAGACGACTGTTGGCTTGCTACCCAAGTATCTGTTGGAAGCTCATGACGAGTATCAGTATCTTAATTTGATTGACGATATCATTAAAACTGGAGCCGTGAAAGGAGACCGCACCGGCACGGGTACCATTTCTAAATTTGGTTGCCAGGTACTGACTTCATTGGACTGAAAACTTTATTGTGCATTACGTCTGTAAATACCTGAGAATTCTGTTCTTTCCTCTGCAATGACTACGTAAGGTCTGTTGCTTGCGACCTTACTACAGAAGTACGCTTAACTTTGGCAATGAAATATTGAGTGAAATAACTTCCAAGAGGTGGCTCTTATGGTCATTATTACTTCTATCTTGTTCATCCTATAGCTAATGTTTGTTGTGTAGATGCGGTTCAATCTTCGCAAGTCCTTTCCACTACTCACGACTAAGGTAAGATAGTCACTATTACTTGTCCTATTTGGTGCAAGATAGCAGTATTTGCGTACCTTTCCTCCGCATATTTGCTGCATTTTCTCGCATTGGAGACAATAATTTTACGAACAACTATTCGATATAGGTGTGAAACTTTCTACCAACTATATTCTTAGGTATTTACCTGCGTGACCTGGAAGTACTTTGATTTTGAAATGGGTATTGGCAGCGTGTATTCTGGCGTGGTGTTGTGGAGGAGCTCCTTTGGTTTATTAGTGGGTCTACAAATGCCAAGGTGCGTATATTGGCGTTTTATTAGCGGTTTTAGCTTGTTTTGGAGATTGTGACTGCCACAACTGAAGTTGAACTCTTTTTCCTCGATTTCCTTTATCTGTTTATTACTACACAGCTAAACGTGCTGTTATGCATGGTAGGTGCTTCATGACAAGGGCGTGAAAATATGGGACGGCAATGGTTCTCGAGAATACCTTGACAAGTGAGTAGATAAGTTACCATTGTCATCCATTATGTAATAGAAATTCCAGATACAAGCCGCCCCTTTACATGTACATTCTGATTTCACATTGCCAAAGAGTTCTTGAAGTAAAGTTAATGGAATTCTTTTGATCGCATGTTTAGGCATCAAGCTTTAGGGCTGTGGGTTCTTTGTACTTTAGGCCCCTGTGAACTCTCTGTTATGTGCACCTACTTATCCACTTCAAACCACAGACAGGGGCTGACGGAGAGGGAAGAAGGGGATTTAGGTCCTGTGTACGGATTTCAGTGGCGCCATTTTGGAGCCAAGTAAGATCTCGTCTCGGTCTTTGCAGAATGTCATTCAACTGCTTTATTTATATCTGCCCTTTCATGGGTTCAGGACTCTCTTTCAACATTATGAATATTATGAATACTTCTATAATTGGGTATTACTTATTTTGTTCGATGAAGTAGTGATGGAGCACACTGAACTTCTTGTGGCGATTTTACTTATTTATTTGTTATTTGTTGTTATTAGTATTATTATTTTTGTTCTTATTATCAACCGTCATCTCATCGAAAGTAGTTTTGAATGTTCAGATATGTAGACATGCATGCGGACTACACTGGGCAAGGCTATGATCAGCTAAAAGACGTCATTAACAAAATCAAAACAGACCCAGATGATCGGCGCATCCTTCTGTCAGCTTGGAACCCAGCTGACTTGAAGCTCATGGCTCTCCCACCCTGCCACATGTTTGCTCAGGTCAGCAGTCGTCCTTGTTGAAGGCTGGTCATACAAACACCTTCAACGGTCAGCTGATTTCTAGCTTGGATTCCTATCAGATTGTTTTCGGACTTAAATCGCACAATATGGGGTACACAAATGCTGAATTTCATCACCTAGCAGGGTTTGACTTGTAATTACGTGCAACTTTATGGACGCAGTTTTATGTGGCGAACGGGGAGCTCTCCTGTCAGATGTACCAGCGGTCCTGTGATATGGGATTGGGGGTGCCTTTCAATATTGCATCTTATGCACTTCTCACATGCATTCTCGCCCATGTCTGCGGTAAGTTTGCATCGTAGGGATATTCCCTGCTGTTTCTGCTGTTTTCTGTAATTATGCTGCTATTTAATTTTAAACTTTGAGTTGTGGTGAATTAACACTTTTTGGTTGTTTGTGTGTAAGATTTGGTGCCTGGTGATTTTGTTCATGTGTTGGGAGACGCACATGTGTACAAAAACCACGTGGAACCTCTTCAAGAGCAACTACAAAATACTCCAATGCCATTTCCTGTGAGTTTATCTATTGTTCCTATATATCCCTTCCTCATATCAGACGTTCCGCTACTTTTTAGACGTGATTATGCGTCATAGTGTAGGATTTTTTTTCTCCTCTACTGCACATTTTGTCGTTGTTTTTCGTACGTGCTTAAGCGCACAGCGTTGATTTGTCATGGAATATAAAATATGTGGCCGGAGGGTTTTGTGGATGCATGGATTTTGGTTCTAAAGTTGTGTGGCATATGATGCATTTTATCCATTGGAATAGTAATGTTGACGAGGTGATTTTGCAGCGTTTGCGGATCAAAACTGCTAACCGCGATATCGATTCATTCGTAGCCGCTGACTTTGAGCTCATTGGTTACAAAGCTCACCAGAAAATCAACATGATAATGGCTGTATAAGGTAATGTTGAAGTCTAAAATTTATTACCATGATTGAGCCTTCTGGAGATTATCCGAGTTGAACCTATGGGACTTCTGCATTGGACGTTGCGTCCTGTTTTTCGGTCTTAAATGCGTCATTTCAGGACTAATAACAGATGTATCGACACGCGTCAGTTTGATAGTGAGTAATGATTTGCAGGTCAAATTCTGCAATGCCTCGATGGCGTTGCTTTTGTTACACACTTCTGGTGTTGCGCGCAAAGAGGGTTGGTGTACCTGTCCAGAACAATCAGCAGAAGTTTGTCGCAGAGATAGTGTCTCCTGTAAATGATGGGTTAGGTTGTATGCAGTGTATCCGAATTTCGACTACATACACAAAGATGAACACATCTGTTTCCGATCTTTGCCACTATTTATCAATGAAAACCCCATTGAATGAAAAAATACATTTTTTCAAAACTTTCGACTTTGCTTGAAGCATCTGTTTCAAACTTGAGCTGTACAATCCATAATTTGTTATGTTCTACTGAGACCTCTTTATTCCGAGCGCGTGTGTTTACAGCTCCAAATAAATTATGTGAGAGATGAAAGTTCTTGCCTCCTAGATTTCAACATTCATTTCGTGTACACTGATCCTGACCGTTTCTGTTTTGATTGGGTTAAATTATGACCTTGAAATGGGTTTGTTTATTGAACTTACTATTGGTAAGCATTTTGGAGCGGTTCTTGGCATGCACCATCATTACGGGTTGAGGTGCGGAATAATGTTAGCACACTAAAGAGAGGAACAAAACACAAGGACGATAACCAGCTGACGGTATGACTCAAGATGTGCTGTGCAGGTTGGGCGCTTCGCCAATCAAACATGGACACCAATGAAGGTCGATGTGATCTACATTATTCGGATTGCACGCCGCTCACATTGAACCTGATTGTAGAATATGTCTGGCGCGTAATAGTGCACAGTCCACGTACATCAGCTGAGAGCGACGAGGCGTCCAAAAATAGCAGTGAAGCAGGATATCGAGTTTGAGGAGCAGAATACTGAGGATGTCTTCAAGCTTTACGACAACCAATTTTTCGAAGTGGATTACTCGAGGGGAGGAGGTTCAAAGCAGTGCGGCAGTATTCCTGTGCCTGGCATGGAGATACGGGTAGCAATAGAATTTCTGATGCTTTCTGGTGGAATAATACTTCATGCATTAAATCGATGTGTAATCATGCAGAATTCTGATTCTTGGTGAAATTGGAAACAGGAATTGCAGGAGTACGTTACCAAGTGCTGTGGTGACCTCTACAGTGAGTTCAGTGATTTCAAGAGATCTATATCCAGTCAGCTTCTCAGTCTGCAGGTATATCATGCTACGATCAGCATTCAGCGAACTCTTTGGATGCTTGCTTTAAAATATCAATAAATTTTACATTTATTTTCACAGATTGATTTAGCTCTGTTAGGTAAGGCGTTATAGTTTTGTTGTCTAACGTGTACAGGAAGAAGTCCTAGCATTATCCTTTCACAACAGTAGCAGGAACGATGGAGTGTTTCCGGAGTCGGTGAACGAATCTCCACCGCATTATAGGCTAGAAACTAGTGAAGGTATTAATCGTGCTATTAAGCGCACAATCTACATTGCGAAATTTCAATTTACATGTTAGAGTTTTACTTTTTCGGCAATAACAATGCGTGCAAGCAGGTAGGGCAGATGATTATCCTCCATGGAGCAGCCATGTTCAAGCGGAGGACTACGATGAATACGAGAAGGTATAATTCCACTCGTAGGGTATAATACCAAGCTAGGGTTAGTACATATGTATATAACTAAAAATTGCGCAACTTTGAAGTCATCGTAGCGTCATCCTATGCTGACCCTAAAAATTCTGTAGCAACCACCTAGCAGTGTGGTGGCTTCTCATCATCCAACACTAACACTCCAGGTAGCTAAATTTAGAAATGGCTGCCTTTTGGCAATGTGATGCGTATCATGTAACCTCTAGTTGTAATGCGATATGTATATGTTGGTGATGGAGTCAATGCAATGCTTGTTGTTGACCAGATGTCATTGTCAATCCTATAAAGCATAACAATAGTCATATCCGAAGTTGATGGAAGTAGTTTTGGATAAATGAATTTTTCTTCGTTTCACTTTTCCCTTAAGATCCGTAACATAGCTCACGCCGTTCAGCAGGCCGAGCGGTTCCAACACGAAGTGAGTCAACATCGTTGCCCAGGTGTGAATTTTCACAATTTTCATAACAACACGAGTCTTATCTCATTTCAAGAGATTGACAAAAACAAGCCTGGTATTTCGATTAAATGAAATCACTCCTGAGAATGACCTAGTCGTGCGGACTATGATAACAGTAGTCAGAGTTCTTTGCCCAAAGTCATCTTTTTAATGGAAGTCGAAAGCTTTTGCAGCAACTGATCCTCTTGAAAGATTCTCTGTAATTAGAGCCGGGGGGGGGGGGGGGGGATTGGTGTACCCTAAAGGTGGTTACAGTTAAGCGATTTAAAGTAGTAGTTTTTTCATGTGCAATGATTTAATCACCAGAAGGCAGAAGCCCACGACCTGACCAGCAAAGCCCAAGACAAGTTGAAGACCTACTGTGTTCGCATCGCCCTCCGAACGATGATGAAGAAGAGGAGCGGCTTATCACACTCGTACCAGCTAATGTTTGGTCTGATTATGCAACGAACGTTTCAGAGCCACCGATCCGTGGAGTGTGCGCCCAAGCAGTTACTCAGTATAGAAAAGCTATCAAAAGGAATCAGGATTCAATTTATCTTTCTCGTAATCTGCATGGATTCCACTCTTCAAACAGCGCACATGGTGCCCATAAAAGCTGTAGTCCGAGAGATGGGATGAGGTCAGGAGGGTCTCCGAAGAAGAATGAGTATTCGTCCACTTCCGCATCTGTGCGGCGGGAAGAATCATACGCACAAACGAAAGAGTATGATACGGAGAAAATTGAACCAGCTGAAGGGATAGTCTCCGAGTGCAATAGTCGTAAGATCAACAATTTAGACGAGATTCAAATAAAAGCAGATGCTGGTAGAGGTCGTTTTGCGCTGAAAGGTTGGGCAGCATCGTTTCTTCAGCAGCCCTCAACCAGGCAGGTGCCAAAAGGTATGTCTAAATCATTGATTTAATGCTATGGCTAATCTTCGAAAGCTATCAATTTCTTCACCGCAACAAGTAAACTAAAAGCACGTTGATACGCAAGTTCAAAATCAAGTCTCAGCAATAGTGAAATTAACCAAAAACTTAGTAACAGCGCTACTTCAAACTCAATAGTTACTTGTACCAGTCAACTGCCCTAAACGTAATCTTATAGCAGTGAACAAACAATACATACAGCAAGAGATCAACAAATTCAAGGACGAGAGAAGGCCCTCCGATGATGCGTCCTCCGAAGACATGCGAGGCAGTCAGCTACGAGCGGAGCGTTTAATTGTGCAGCGACCTGCAGAAATTGAGATTGTAAGCAAGAGACATGGTGCGTCTCCTGCTCAAGGTATATCACGAAATGTACACCTCATAATTCTATATTCTGCAATATCAAGACAAACAGGACAGAGCATTAAAATAATCAACATGTTCATAGATTGGCTTTATGGTGTGTCTTTAGGTAACCTCAGTCGAAGCAATCCTGAAGAGACGAGGCAGAACAAAACTTCTATAAAACCCACAGCTGACCTAAACGAACATAAGCAGCCCAAAGTTTCCAGTCAGGAGAAAGCTGACCCCCAATTTCCAGGGAAAAAAAGCAGAGGAGGTATAGCTTGGGACGTAGATGAGCTTGCCGCAGGAGGACGGTGACTGAAGAGATTTTACATGTTTTTGAATCAAAATATGTAGACTATCTGCTGAAACATCATGCCAAAAGGACATTTACTGAAAATGCTGGTCAAGTACAGATGGCCGAAAGCGTGGATACACTGCTGCATCGCAGATCGTCACATCGAACCAGCTTTCATGAAATTGGTAGCATATCATTATGGTATGCAAGTTGACGAGTATTTGGCAAGCAGGGCTAAGTCATCAAATGTGTGCGTGTGTGTTATTTTTTATTTTTTATTTTATTTTTTTTTCTCGCAAAGATATGCTATGGCGAAGTTAGTCTTGCCAAGAAACCGCTCAACATGTATTTGCTTACCTTGAGACCGCCCCATTTATCTTCACCCACCGTCAGATTGATGTTGTGGTTGTAGTTTCAAAACTCATAAAATTCTCTTGATCCACGCATCTAACAAATTTTACCGACCTATGATCGCCCACTGCTGCGCTTCCGCCGAAGAATTCGGGTCCATGCCGGTCTTCGACACCGGCAAGTTCTGGTATCATTCCAACCATCGCCACTAAAAAAAAAACACAGGCCACTTCCTCCACTCTTTGTCACCAATCTCTGATGCTCCGTGAGTAATATGTGTCCACGAGGGGCATCGAATTTCGTTGACGGTTGTAGCTCACGTTTCGGTGAAGAATCTGGTGGATGCCTCAATTTGGTTGACGTCATAGTCATCTCACTTGCGAATAACATCATTGAACAAGATTCTAAACTGAAAATCGATCATCATACAAAGTAAAAACAAGATATTGGATAACCCAAACATGCTGGAATTCAGTTGACTTTCGAGGACTGACTTTACAATTTCTCCAAAAACCGAGACGAAAAGAAATATTAGAAAGGAAAAAGATGTGAGTTTTGGATTCATTATAAAAGTGTACAATGACGTCACTCGTGTTCGAAAACTAATCCATATACCCGGGTTGAGACCATTTTTTTTGTACTACAGGTACCAATCGTATGGGTCCGAAGGATCTCGCCACGTTGCGAGAGTGGCCTCTTATCTGTTGGAAATGAGCGGGTTGCAGGAATGGTGCCACAACCCAGAGTGGTACATTTTTCTGACTTTGCGAGCTCGCGTGCTTCGAATCTAAACATGATCCTCTTTCAAAGGCACTACACTCGTCGCAAACCCCTTTCATGAGCCAAACCATTCATTGTACAGAAAGGCCACAGGTCGTGTGAGCTAGTCACGAAGGTTGTTCTTTCAGACGCCGTCGAGGAGGGAATCTGTAGATATTGCAGGTGCTGTGTGCAGTCTGGGTATTTGGGTTTCTGGGATTGTGTATGTTTTTGGGTCCGAGTTTTTCTCTACTTTTTGGGGTCTTGATGCAATAGATAGATGGTTGGACGCGTGTGAGCTCTCGAGGCAAAATGCAAGCATGGAAGGCTTTGAGTGATGGTATATTGGGGAGGAGTAGTCGTGGCCTCGGGCTGCTGAGCGAATTGCGTCGTAGCTATGGCTACAGCGCAGTCGGATCACATGAATCCAGGCGTGCTCGATGGTACGAAGGCAAAGGGGAATGCGATGGTCTTTCGAATCATGAGCTTCATGCTGTTCACGTCTTCCAGTGCTCTGTAAGTTTTGCCAATTTACTCATCGTTTTCTGTCTTTGTTTTGGTTGCAATGTCGTGAATTATGTTCGCGAACTCCACCTGCGAGTTTTTCTCTTTATTGTTCTCCTTTTATGTCCTTCAGACTGGGATTTGGAAGGGATTCCTGGTTGTTAATGCCAGTCTTGTAAATTCAATGTGATAGTTGTCTCTTCCTCGTTGGTGGTGATGATGAAGCTCAGAGCTTGTCAAAACCCAGTCATTGCCTAGTGTCTTCATGTGTTGTTGCGCCTCTTTCCTGATTACACTTTTCAGAGGTCTATATGCTCTTTTTACCTCCTCACATTCTTCCTTGACCATTACGCTCCACTGTGAAGAGTGTAATTCGTTTATTGCGGGTCTAATAAGCGGAGCAATCCTCATCTGTTACAGGACCAGCTTGGGATTGTAGCTAAGATCTCAAAGTGTATTGCATCGCGGGGCGCAAATATTCTCAATGTAGATCTCCATATTGACTTTGATGGCGGAAAGCAGCCCCCAGTTTTCTATGCACGAAGGTAAAGTCTGTTTGATCCAGAGAACCTCATCTATTGTAAAGAAATAGTTTGCCAATAACAAGGAACTAGATAAGCGCACAGCACTTACTATTATGTTCGCTTGCCGTTGTTATATTTGCTACGTGCTTAGCTTTGCACTTTTGAGAGGACGATTTCTTGTATGGAGCTTCCCGAATGATATAGTATTAACGTCAACGTTGAGCAGCCACAAGGATGGGGGTGGATTCTAATCTTGTGAAACGAGATCTTCACGAAATGTACGGACTGACTCTCGTGTTCAGTGAGTTTACATTCGATCCGTTGCAGTGGCCTCGCTCTCTCATGGACAAGGACTTCGATGAATTGTCTCACCATTTCAAGGCTGAGAAATCGATAGTGCGAGTGATGGGTAGCGATCCGGATTTGAAGTTGGCCGTCCTCGCGTCGTGGCAGGTGTGCGAGTAGAGCAACACAGATTCTTTTTCCTGACTACATCAAAAGGGAACTAAAGCTCAGAAGTCAGGGTGTTGATTGAACTGGGTGTGTAGGATCATTGCTTGATTGATTTGTTGCACCGATGGCAAGAGGGAGAGCTTCCAGTTGATATATGTTGTGTTATCAGGTTGGTTGGTTTACCATGTTCTTCTGAACGGTTTATATGGTAACCACTAAATTCAATTTTCTGCTCTATACCAATAGAATCGATTCTTCTGGACCAGATTAGAGCCATCATTGAGTAATATTGTGAGTGATAAATGTACTGTAAGTGGCAGTTGTACGGAGATGTTTCTGTGGATTTGAATCATCATTGCTTGCAAAAATTGCTCATCGCTTGCCAAATTGGGCATGGAGAGCCTAACACGAATTTACTTTGCAGTAACCACAACCGTGGGCCGAACACTCATGTCTTACGATTTTTGGAGAGGCATGGAATACCTTATCACTACCTTCCTACAAGTAGAGGAAACAAGCGCGAAGCGGAGATTCTTGAATTGGTCTCGGGCACCGACTTCCTGGTCCTTGCTCGCTACATGCAGGTAATTTTTCGCGGTTTTCAACTCTTACGATATGTTGTTTTGCATATCATACTCAAGATAACTGAGACTTCGCTAGTGGTACATCTGTTCTGCCGCCTGTTGTCGTTGTCCGAGATACATGGTCATGATAAAGGTGTCTAGGTGTGAATGGCTATCTTAGTATTCTACTTCGTTGTGCTGTGTCTGCTCCACATTTGCTACACTCCGAAATGGACAAGATTTCAGTAGTCACACTTGCTTATATTTTTCGTGGAAGGGAGTGAAGATTGATATGAATAATGGGGTGATATCTGGGTCTGTTTATCACCTTCCACAGTATAGATAGTTTTTAGTTTGGAAACATAAATTTCTCTTTACGGGTAAACTGTCTGGTTCCAAATTTTGTAGGCGTCGTCAGTTGACAGATTAATGGCAGAGTTCTCGTGCCAAGTTAAGTTGTCAGATTATCCAATTCAAACTATGTTATTCATTGCTTCTACTGCTTTATAGATTACAGTCCAATAAGATATGCTAGTTGCTTTTTGGTATAGGTGTTGTCATCGACATTTCTCCACAATTATAGGAAGGATATCATCAACATCCATCATGGACTCTTACCCTCATTCAAAGGAGCAAATCCATACAGACAGGTTTGTTGCATTTTTTGGCGAAGATTAATAGGTGATATTGCTTTGCATCCATTTTGCTTCTTCAAGGTTGTTTTAGCACTTCCTCCAGTTTTCTAGATCAGAAGTCTCTAGGCCTTTTGTTGAAGTTGCACTCAAATGCAAAATTGTATTTCACACTGGATTCTTTCTCCTAACGTAGTCTACCTATTACATGACTTCGAGCTGGCCGTAGGTCGGATACTAACGTCACTTTTGCAGGCTTATGAAGCTGGTGTGAAATTAATAGGCGCGACCAGCCATTTCGTGACTGAGGAACTTGACGATGGCCCCATTATCGAGCAAATGGTAAGCTTCTCTTATAAAACTTTATCGACACAAATATCATGAAATTAGCACTAGTTGGAAGCCACCGCTCGTAGAACTGAAGTAAACCAAGGCCACGTCTTCGAGCAATTCAGACACGGCGCCAAAGCAACATTGCTCGTTTCAAGTGTGTTTTAGTGCATTAGTGCAATATAACAAATCCGCATCTTAACCTTGATAAGTACTAGTGTAGTTTTTGAATCCTTGCTCCGCCATCAATTATACAGAGCCAGAAATGAATTATGATTTTTTGGGTAACCTTTCTTTTGTGGTCACAGGTGGACCGAGTTTCGCATAGAGACAGTCTGAATGCATTTGCTACAAGGTCAGAGAATCTGGAGAAGCAGTGCCTTGGTAAGGCGATCAAATATTACTGCGAACAACGCATACTACGGTATGCCGTGAACAAGACCATTGTCTTCGGTTAAGTTCATCGATTGTAGCATATTTAGCACTGCTCTTATCCTACCGATAAGCACAAGTGTGCATACTGCGCTTCAATTCTTCGAACCATAAGAATACTTTACATTTGTTAGCATCTTTGGAGGAAAAGCGTCACAAAGATCTTTCAACAGGCGTTATGTGAATCAATCAAAGATTGGGCTTGTGGAATGCTCAAAATTGTGAAGTTGTCTTGGGTTTCACGTTACCTGGAAGCAAATTTACCAAGGCCCAATCTCCAAGAACCAAAAGTTTCAGAAAATCTGCAACATTCATAGGTTTTAGCTGGACACAAAGTAATTCCTTGATGAATATTGTGAAGCATTGTGAATGAGTAAGTTAAATTTGGGTTAGTAAGTTGTGTGGGTGTGGCATTGTATATCAACAAATTCAAAAGTCAACTTTGAAGCATCAAGCTTTGGTATAATGGAGTGGATCATTGAACATTAATTAATTTTAATATAGATGACTAACATGTTATTATAAATCTAATTATATGTATTTTTATAGATTTATTTTTTTTTCAAAATTATCAAAAATTTATTTGATTATAAATTATAAATTATATTTATTTATACAATTTCACCAATATTAAGGTTATCTATTAAAATTTATGTAAGAAATTATTTTATTAAAAATGATGATGATTTTATAGATTATTATTTTTCAATCTGATATTATGTGCAAGATATACATAATATTTGAATTGACTAATAAATGTTAAAGCATTTAAAGATAGTAGATTTTGCATATACAAAACAATATATTTTTAAAGAATATTGAAATAGTATAGTATTAGAATATTAAAAAGATATTTAAAAATATTTAATTTGAATAATTTTTTTAAAAATACTTATTTGAATAGTTTTTATTATTTATAATGAATTAAAAAACATAATATATTTTATATTTATAATAGTTTGATTTTTTAAAGAAATTATAATTGTATTTTTTGACCTCCAAAAACAACTTAATGTTGTTTAGTACACTTTTGGCTCCATCTTCTATTGTGGTCTTTTTTCTAAATCTCATATCTTTCTAACATGTACCTTTTTTGATTAATTAGTTAAAAAAATTAATAAAAAATATCTTAAAAAATAGTCATATAATAACGAATTTTAATATAATTTATATGTTGGCAAATGCAAACCTCATTAGCCATTATGTTTGTACACGTCTAATAAGTTTAACCACAGTTTTTATTATTTAATAATGAATTTCTTGCATACTATAATCTTTTTTGCATGGTGAAGTTTTAATCTAAAAAAATCATAAAGATAAATTATTTATATTCTCTTATACATTGTTGTCTTAATATTTTACTTCAAATCAATATCTTGTAGTAGAAATTATAAGTATATGCCTTCCAATAAAGACTTGTTTGCATATAATGATATCTTATTTAATTAATATCCTTGAATTAACATTCCTTGCTTTATTCATAATATTTGCTTAAATAGAGATTATTTTTAAGTAAGAAATAAAATCCTTATTTTGTGATTTAAGGAATGTAAGCTATCTCAATCAACTTCCAACTCATGATTGACACAATTATAATTTAATATATGTATCTTCTTTCTTGAACCTATCTTAGTTTTAAATGGTGTATAATTTCTACATAATCTATGTGTATCATTGTCTATATACTTCAAATTATCATCATCAATGTCCACAAGTTTAAGTTCTTCTTCTACATCTTCTATCAAAATGCTTCTACAACTAGATTCTACTTTGGATGCTTTAGACATAGTACCATAACTAAATTACTATTAGATCATGTTTACTTTAAGTAAAAATTTGAAGATGTTAATTAAACTAAGATAGAAAGTATTAATAGGATTCTTCAAAAAAGATCGATGAAGAATGATGCTAAAATAAGGTATACTATCACTAAATGTATCTACTCTATTGGGCATAATATAAGATAGATTTTTATCATAGATATACATATTTTATATTAGTTATTATGTAGATTATAGAAATTAGATAGAAGTAAATAGAAATAGGTGAATTTGATAATATCTTGTAGAAAAGTTTTTAAAATATTTCATGGTCAAAGATTTGATAATTGAAATGTTGATAGGTCATAAATAGGTTGAAGATTTTATCAACAAGTTGGCCACATATCATACATATTGACCACTTGGTTTATAACGTGGCTATGAATCATGCACATTGACCACTTGGTTTATAAGTTGGCTATATGTTGCACATATTGGTCATTTGTTGTATAAGTTGACCATTTAGCATATATGTTAAAAACTTGCCATATAAGTTAGACACATGTCAAATAATCTATAAAAAATTGCTACATAGGTTCCTAGTCAAATAGTATATATGTAAGCAAGAGTGAATTTCTTCACTCTTGTCAACGCCTTCCTTATTTTTAGCTTTATTTCAAAAATACATAGTTATAAAAGAAAGAATACTAAAAATAATATAAAGCATAAAGTATATTAAGAAAATAACTTGATTACATCATATTTATAAGAGCCTTTTATATTATTTCATGGAAAGAAGTAGTTATAACTTCTCCATAATTACTTTGTAACTACCTAAAGGTAATTCTACATTAACTAATATATATTAATTAATCTAATATATATTAATAAATCTAACAATCCTTCTTTAATCATCATAGATTAGATTTTATTTGAATTATTGATGTTGATTAAATATTTCATGAAATAGTTGTACTTGGATTTTAGAAGTGACTTTGTCATTATATTTGCCTTCATTTTATTTATAGGAATAAACTCAAAGATAACTTCATTTGCCTTTACTTTGTCTCTAATGTAATGATACTTAATATCAATATATTTTGTGCAATCATAGAAACGTGGATTTTGTGTCATCACAATATATGATTGATTATTACAACAAATTATACTTGGTAAAGTTACTTGATGTTCAATTTCTTTGAAAAGAGTTTGAAGCCAGATCAATTCTTTTAAAGGCGTTGCTATTACAATATATTATGCTTCCATACTTGATTGTGCTATTACAACTTGTTTCTCAGAATGCCAACTCAAAAGAGATGACTTGACATAAAGCAAGTACCCAGAAGTAGACTTTTGAGTATCTAAATCTCTTGCATAATCTGCATCACTCTAACCTTAAAGTTGTGGTGAAGATGTAGAAAAAGAACTCAAATAATATAGTCCAAATTTTTGAATTCCTTTTTAATAATGGAGTATATGTTTTAAAGCCGTGTAATGAATTGGACTAGGCTTAGCTATAAATTGTGCCATATGATGTATTGCAAAGGGTAAGTAATATCTAGTACAAGTGATAAGGTATTGTAGACTCCTAATAATATGTGCATATGGAATTGATGCCATGAATTCAATATTTTCTCCCATGAAGTCGAGTCCTTGAGAAAAGTGAACATTGGCCTTAAAAAGAGTAGAAATGGCATGGCAATTCTTCATAGAAAAATAATTTAATATACTTGATACATAACTATCTTAAAAGAGAATTAAAGTGGGAGTGGTAAAATGATGACAAATTTGAATACCTAAGATGTATTCAACTTTATTGTTGTTTTTCATAGAAAAATAAGAAGAGAAGAATGCATTAATTCATATGATATAAAATAAATTATTTAAGATTAAAACTAGATCATCAATGTAAAGTCTAATATAGATAATGAATGTAAATAAGTATTTATAATAAACATTGATATCCAAAATATATTTAAAAAATCTACTAGTGACTAAAAAGTCATCAAATAGATCATACTATATGTAAAAAGCTTGTTTTAATCTATATAAAGATTTAAATAAATTACATATCTTGTATTTATGACTAGGTACTACAAAGCCTTCAAGTTGAGTGATGTAAATTTCTTCTTTAAGAACACCATTTAAGAAAATTATAATGACATCCATTTGATGAATATAAAAGTCATAATAAATAGATAAAGTAAGAAGAAGACATAGTGATATCATTTTGATGATAGAAGAGAAAGTCTCATAATAATCAAAGCCTTTTTATTGCAAGAAACCTTGAATAACAAAATGTTCCTTAAAGCATGATAAAAAACCATTGGAATTATATTTCCAATGGAATAGTCATTTAATGCTCACAATAGAATGATTAGAAGGATAAAAGATAACTTTTATGTGTCATTTTTGATTAAAGAATTATATTTATTTTTTATAGCTAAATATCAATTGGATGTACCTTCACTTGTAAGTACTTCACAAACCAAAAGTGGATTGGTCAAGGTAGCTGGAAATCCACTGATATAGAAAGTTGTGTCATTAGCTTTGTATGTTTGTCAAGTTTCACAAGTGATCTGTGTAGATCATTGAAGTAGTTTGTTCTTTGAAAGATCTCATGAGAGATTAATGGAATATACAATAGAAAACAAGGCATAGAACTAAAAGTGCTAATGATCTCATTATTGAATGAGAGAGGTACAAGAGAGATTGATGAAGAAAATTTAAGGTCGTCCATCAAAGTAGCTTCTTCATGACTATTAAGTTCCACATAGAGTGGAAGTCTTTGTGGAGTCAATATAACCACCAATAACGATGAGGTGATTGTAATTGCTCATTTTACTTATTCCGGAAGAAACCTCCTAGCATAAATCCGTATAGGGAGATTTGAACACGAGGAATGACTAGTTGCTTAAGCGTTCACGTTAGGGTCATACAATCAATTACCTCCTAAATATATTGTCTCTATTTCTAATATCTGAACACACAAGGAAACTATAATCTCCTCCTTCATCTTATCGGTCTCTTCCTTACAGCAATTCAGTCATACCAATAATTGCTATTTCCACCAATATATTCACCCTCATAATCTCCAACTGTAATATTGTGCCCTCACAGCTTTCAGTACACAATTACCCTCATTCCAATCACTCGAATTCTTTACACAGAACTCCCATTCACATTGCAGTATTTCACACAAACATAGACTCATTCTCTCTGCTGAACTACAATCAGATTTCAGCATTCAATCTTTCTTCTTCTCAAATAATACCAATCACATTTCTATTCCATAATTCACTTCACAATATTCAGAAACTTTCAATCCTCTTATTCAAAGAAAATAACAAACAAAAGAAAAGAGGTAGCACCAAGCTTACCTCGGCTCACAACTTTCACAGTCTTGCCCTCGGCTTACGACTCTCACAGTTTGGCCCTCGGCTCACAACTCTCATAGTCTGGCATTTTCTTCCCCTCTCCCATCCTCCTTATACTACCCCGAGATACCAACTCCTATACTACAGATGATAACTACTTTTTTTGACTATTCATCCATTCTACCTACTAAACCACCTTTTCAGCAGTTATCTATCCCTATTTACATTATACATTAGGTATCTACATTCTGAAAA